GCATATACGAAGGTACTCAGTCTCAGAGAGGCCGAGTCGCTCAACTAAGGTCACACACAGGCAGGTAAGCCTGCTGGATCCCACAGCCGGGTTTTTCACAGGACTGCCGAGTCCTGTGCAGACAGGTGAGGGCTGCGTGTGGGCAGAAGCAGGTCTGGGGAGGGTGGCTGGGGGAGCAGACAGCCCCCAGGCCTGGCTCAGCAGGAGCCTGGCGGTCCATTGTGGGCAGAGATTAAGGGACCTGCTCTGGCCCGGCTCACCCGCCCCAGGGCCTGCTGGGAGAAGCCAAGCGCAGAGTCAAGATGGGAGCTCACCTGGCCATGCTCCAAGCCTTGCAAACCAGGCTTCTTCTCCCAATTCATTCTCACCTTGTGAGCAGGATGGGGGTGGGGGTGGGAAGCCGAGCACCAGGGGCTGAGAGCTCAGGGCAGACTGACAGGAACAGGCAAGAGTTTGGGGGTGTCACCCAGACTGTTGGCAGCTGAAGGGGTACCTGTCCATCATCACAGAAACTCAGACACTCGCCCTGTTTGCCCACCCTTCCCTGTGCTGGATTTATGAGGTCTACCTTGTGATTTATACCTCGAAGAAAATACTATTAGCAACTTTAAAAATAAAGCAAATGTTTTAATTGAAATATAACACACAGCACATGTGAGGAGGTGTGAACCTGCCCCCCGGAACCACATGCGGTGATGTGACCAATGTGACCTCTAATAAATAATATTAAAAAAGAACTATAAGACAGGAAAAGGCACCCGTCATAACAATGTGTTGTGATGAATTTTTATAAATGGAATGCAGTCAAGGATAACTCACAACCAGTTCCCAGAAGCCCCTTTGTGTGCCCTTCTGGTCCCCTCCTCATCCTCAGCCTGTGTTTGAACTGGATATGCATGGATGGATTCCAATGGAGTTTGTGCTCTGGTATCTGGTTCATCTCCTTCAACGCTAGGTGAGGGCTGGCCAGCACCCCTCAGCATGCAGAGACCACACTTTCCTTACTATCTTACTACTGGGGGGCATTGGCATGGTCCCCAGATTTTGCTTATTTTCATTGTTGCTACGAATGTTCTTGGATGTTTCTTCGCATTTCTGCTGAGTCTATGCCTGGGGCATGCGTGTGTTCAGCTTTTATAAAGTTCTTTCCATTTTTTTTTTTTAAAGAGAAAGGATTTATTTTATTTATTTATTTATTTATTTTTTTTTTTGGCATGTATATTTATTTATTTGTTTGTTTGTTTGTACAAGCACTGGGTACAGTCAGAAGTGCGGGAGGGTGAGAGAATTCACCAGAGCCAGAGCGGGGAGCAGAGCAGGCAGAAGGACCCAAGTACACTGCTGAGGGGAGCAGCGGGCGGCAGGAGAGGTCTGCGCGCCATGTGGGACCCTCCTCCGGTGGCCGGGGAGCAGCCGGGGATCGAACCGGCGCCGCTGAGGCTGCGGGCAGCTTCGCAACCCAGCGCTCAACCGCTGCGCCACTGGGGAGGCCCTCTTTCCATTTTTGAAGAAAACCTCAGGCCTCCCTGGTGGCCTAGGGTTTAAGTCTCAGCACTATCACCATGATGGCCTGAGTTTGAGCCCTGGCCAGGGAGCTGACCCACATATGGTGCAGCAGACCTCTCCTGTCTCCCTGCTGGCCCCGTTAGCAGTGTATTTCAGTAGATCCTCCTGTTCTGCTCCCCACTCTGTCTCTGGTGAATCCGCTCACACCCCCCAACCTCTGTCCTATACCCCAGCTTTTCTACACAAAAATAAATAAATTAAATATTATATATGTATATATGAAAAACTCCCTTGCTATTTTGTTTTTGCTTTAATCAACTTTATTGAGGCCTAATTAACTATAATAAAGTACACCCATTTTGAGTGTCAGGCAGGTGACTTTTCACACACAAACGCACCCGTGTAAACAGTCACCATGGAGATACGGAACACTTCCATCTTCTCAGAAAGTTTCCTCTGCCCCTTTGCAACTAATATCCCCTCATCCCCTTCCCCAGACAAGTGCCGGTATGATTTCTAGAACTATACACCAGTTCCAGGTGTTCTGGAACTATAAATGGAATCATCGGGTAAGTTCCTCTTCATGTCGGGTTGAAACTGCAACTATGAGGCCGTATGCACTGGGGCCTGTCTGGCTTCTCCTTCGTGTCCTGTGTGTTGTATGAATGCATCACCGTGCCTTCGTTTATTCTCTTGTTGATGGGCATTAGGCCAATTCCAGTTTGGCCATTATGCATGATGTGGCTATGACCGTTCAGATACTTGTTTTCATTCCTGTTGGGTGACTACCTGGGAGCTGCATTGCTGGGTCATAGGGTAAGGACATATTTACCCACACAAGAAATTGCCAAACTGTTTCCCAAAGGCATTGTATACTTTATACTCTGACCAACAGTGAATAAGAAGTCGGTTGCTCCACATCCCCTGTCAGCACTTAATACTGTCTGGCTATTTAATTTTAGCCATTCAGGTGGGTCTGAAGGGCCATCTCACTCATTTTATTATTATTAGTAATATTATTATTATGGTATTGTGGTCTTAATTTTCATTTCCCTTGAGACTAGTGATGTTAAGCATCTTTTCATGTGCTTACAGGCTATCTGGGAGCTGTCATTTCATCTTTCTTACTTTATTATTACCTGGTTTCCCATCCACAGCCCCTCCCCCCACATCTACACCCTCAGTTCCCTCTTGCGTGAGGGCACTCGGTCTCAACTGGTCTCCTGCATCCCAGTGGCTACCCCGTTGTGCCAGATGAACCTTCCTAATCACCAACTGCACAAGTCACTCCTTTGTTCTACAGCCAGCTCTGGCTTCCCTCGCCTGCGGGGATAAGCCCTACATTCTCAGTTTGCCATTCTTGGCACCTCCAGTGCCTCTCTCAACCTTTCTCTCCTGCCTCACCTAACAATCTCCCAAACTCCACTCCTGCTCTGTGCCTTGAGGACCCAGAATACCTGTTCCCTTCTACTCCCCCCAGGTTTAAATCTGCTCTAAATTAAGTTGGCATCTCTCCAGGGAAGCAGCCAGCCAGCTCCACCCTCGGGACTACTGGCTCCTCCACTGCCTGCTTTCTCTCTGCTCCTGTTTGACATGAGCATTTGCCTCCTGACAGTGCCACTTAGATGCCAGGGGGTAAGCAAGGCCTGGAGACAGGCTTCTTGCTACCAGGAAGTCCCCTAACTTATAATAAAAGCAGTGGGATTCTGCTCTTACAACATTTTAATATTACACATTATTATTACAGGTGCATTTTAAAATTGTACCTAACCCTGCCCTAAAATTTCTAGTGTATGTGAGAGGGAGGGACTTGAAGTTGGGATAGGAAGGAAGAGGCGCATCTCCCTTTTCTCCATCTCAGGAATTTCTGATATAAACACAAAATAATGGGACTCAGGGGCGCCTCCCTGGTGGTGCAAGGGGTTAAGAACCTCACTATGAAGCAATCCGCAGCGTCTGCAGGACGGGTTCGATCCCCAACCAGCCAGGGAGCTACCCACATGGCGCAGCAGACCTCTCCTGTCTCGCCCACTGCTCCCCTCAGCAGTGTATTTCAGTCAGTCTGCCTGTTCTGCTCCCCACTCTGTCTCTGGTGAATCCTCTCACCCCCACATCTCTGGCCTGTACCCCAGCTCTTGCATGCATAAATAAATAAATCTTAAAAAAAAAAAAGGTAACGGGACTCAGGGTGCTGTCCTGGCCTTGAGTTCTAGCTGTGCCGCTTAGTAACTGCAGGTGGGTGGCTGGGAGACCCGCTCATCTCTCAGGACCTCTGGTGAAGGGGGCGTGGGGATACTCAAAACCTACTCTGTGTACCTGTGTGTGTATCTGTGTGTACCTGTGTACGTGTGCACCGTGAGAATTGGTCTCTTAGATTGTAAACCCTTTAGAACACCAACCGGGTAGAGAAATCTTTGTAAAATCCTTTTATAAAGAATTGGAGGAATAAACTCCTCAGACTTCATGAAGGAAAACGCCGAGGAAGACAGAAGGAGCCAGTCACTAGCGGCCCTGACCCCCTCACAGGTTTCTCCTCTGTCATCAGGAGAAAGTCAATGTACAAAGTAAAAAGAAGAAAGTTGCTTGGAAGCGCAGAAGGGAGTCTGCAGAGCCCAGTGGCTGGTCCTCCCAGGACCCAGGCGAGGCTCCAGGACAGGTGGGGGCCAGAGTGGGTAGGAGGGCAAGTGCAGATCCCAAGTCTTGGGGGAGGCTTGCTGTGGCCCTGGTCCTGACCCTGGGTTCAGACGTGGGCTCCTCTATGAAAGTGCAGAGGAACCCCACTGGTGTGCGAACTCTGGAGGTGTTTTCCCTATAGCTGTCCACGCTTACTCCCAAATCAAGGGCTGGAGAGGCACCCCCCTGGGTCACTGCTGCTGAAGCTGGCTCAGGGGGGGAACCCCACTCCCCGGGAGGAGCTGAGTCCTTGAACTTTCTGCCCAGGAGTGAAAGAAGCTCACGTGCCAAGCACCGCTCGCTGCAGATACAGCTGGTGCAGGAGCGCCCAGGTGAGGCCGGAACGCGGCGCCCAGGCAGAGGGTGGAGGCGCCAGGCAGCGGGGTCACCTGCGGGGGTGCCAGCTAAGCGCTACCAAGCCGCGTACTCAGGGTGAAAATGCTACTACTTGAGCAGGGTGCGGGGCTCCAGCAGGGGGACACCGGGGAGTTGAGAGGCCAGGCGATGGGGGAGTCCCGGGGGTCCCCACCGGGCGGCCCCGCCCCCTACCCCGCCCCCTCTACTCGACCTGGGTTCCGCCCGGGTCCCCTCCCGGTGCCCCGCGCCCTGCCGGCTCCCCCCGCGGCGGCTTGGGCCCCTCGCGCGTGGGGTGCCCGGGCCGGGTGGGCCGCGCGGCAGGAGGCGCTCGGGTGCCGGCGCGCACGGGCCACGGGGCGGGATCCCCCGCGGGCGCGTGACTCCGCCCCGCCCGCCCCGCGCGCCCAGCGCGGGTCCCGGCGCCCAGGCGCGGCCAGTCCTGCGCGTCCTCCGCGCGCCCCGCCATGGAGCCCGCGCCCGGCGAGCCCCGGGGGGGCGGCGGGCCCGAGGCGCTGCTGGGCGAGCTGCAGGCGCGGGTGCAGGACGTGGTGCGCGCCAGCTCGTGGTGGGAGCGCCACGGCGTGGACTGCGCCATCCTCGCGCTCGGCGTCCTCGCCCTGCCCGCCGGTGAGCGCGCGGGCCCGGGTGACCCCGGCGGGCGCGGCCGGGTGGAGGGTGGGCTTGGGGAGTGCGTGGTGGAGACGGTGGGGGGCAGGGGGCGCGGGGGTGCGGGGAGAGGAGATGGCAAGTGACCGGGACCTCCCAACCAGGGTGACGCCCAAACCCGAAAGTCTGGTTGGGGGTGTCCTGCCGGAGTCTCCAGAGTTGCTGGCTCCCTGGGAGGGAAGAGGCTGGAGAGCCCAGGGCATGGAGGGGAAAGTTGAGAGGCTGGGGAGGAGGTCAGAAGAGCAGGGAGGACCCGGGGGAGGGGAGGATGGGCTCTGGGGACACCGGGGTGCAGCTCGCAGCCAGGAGGGAGGCGGGGAGTTTCCCTTGTACTTCCCTGGGCTGCCCCTCGGCGTTCCCAGGCCCCTCCATGCCCTGGCCTGGCTGTGGTTCTCTTAGCCTCCTTGACCCGTCAAAGGGGCTCTGTTTTATCCCAAATCCCATGGACCGTGCCAGCCCATCCCCCGCAGCGGGACCTGCCACATCTCTGCCGGTGCAGCAGGTCCCAGCCCCCTGCCAGCTTTGACCTGGGTTCCCAGGGGTGGGGGTGGGGAGTTTGGACCAGATCCCCAAGAACCGAGGAGGACCCTGCGGCCTGCCCCCTGCCCCTCTCCCTACAGGGTTTCTGTGCCTGCGCTCGGAGAATGTCTTGGTCTTCGCCTTGGGCATTGCCATCCTGGGTGTGTGCCACTACACGCTCACTGTCAAGGGCAGCCACCTGGCCACTCACGGTGCCCTCACCGAGTCCAAACGCTGGAGCAAGATCTGGGCACTTTTCTTCGTGGAGGTGAGCCTGGGGGTGGTGGGGCTGTGGGTACCCTGGGTGTGGTGAGGAGGCGTGTACAGCTGTGTGCGCCCACCTGGGCACAAGCCTAGCTGTTGGTGTGCAGGGCTGCCCCACCGTGTGTGAGTGTGTGTGTGTGTGTCGGAGAGGCTGGGTGGGCAGAGAGCTGCATGAGGGATAGCCTTCCTCTGGCAGTGGACGTGTCCTGGCGGTGGCCTGGGCACTCCTTCCACTTGCCGTGCTGCAGCCCTGGCCCAGGTGGGCATCATTTCCTCCTCCTACCAGGACACCTGTGGCCGGAAGGTCTTGGTTCATGTGCGCTGGCTATAACCTTTGGGCTTCCTGGATTTGCAATTAGGGTTAAAATGAGAACCACGGACAGAGGCATGGTTAAAATGAGAACCACGGACAAGGGCCTGGCGTTGGGGGTGCCCTGCTCTGGATCCTGTGCCTCTGAGGCCTGCTGATGGCTGAGCTCCCCCGGATCCCCTCGAGGAAGGGCCCTCTACTCTCTGGCCTTTGCTCTTTCCACTCCTTTCCATTCTGCCTCAGCCTTTTACCTCCCCACAGGGCAGAGGAGACAAAGTTTCTGGTCGTCCTGCTGCTCTCTGGACTAGTCTCGGGCCTCTCCACTTCCCCTGTTCAACCTTCTCCCTCCTCACTTCATGGGAACCCTCATGGGGGTTCCCCAAGGCCCTCTTTTTTTTTTAAAAAAAAAAAAGATTTATTTTATTTATACAAGAATCGGGATACAGGTCAGATGCGCGGGAGGGTGAGAGGATTCACCAGAGACAGCGGGGAACAGAACAGGCAGACTGACGAAATACACTGCTGAGGGGAGCAGCGGGTGAGACAGGAGAGGTCTGCTTGCCATGTGGGTTGCTCTGAGGCCAGTGGGGATCTAACCAGCACTGCAGAGGCTGTGGACAGCTTCAAAGTGCTGCACTCAATCACCTGCGCCACCAGGGAGGCCCCCCAAGGCCCTTTTGAACCATGAAGTAGCCCGGCACCAGAAAAAGTCTTTTTCTGCCAGGGACAGTGACCATGACCAGTTAACTCAATTGTTAACTTTTGTAGTTATATAAACTTTATACACACTCACGTGACTTTTATAAAATCATACCCCTCTCTTGAGAGGAGGGAGGTCTCTTACCTGGCACTCCCTGTCACCCCCTGCCACCTCCTCCCCCACCCGCATGCATTTTAAAAGTGTGGAGGAGCAGGACAAGAAGATCAGGGGGTTCTAGATCCTTGGGGCCCATTTCAAGACAGTTTCCTTCGCAGGGACCCCAGGGCTCTGGTGCTAGCCAGGTTCTGAGGCCTGGAATCAGGCAGTGCTCCCTAAGTAAGGGCCCCACGAGGATGGTCGGGGAGAGGCAGAGCAGGGATGGCCATCACCAGGACTAGCTGCAGTAGCTGTTTGCATTTGTTGCATCTGTACCGGGTGCCGGGAGCTGGGGGCAGCTGAGAGTGAGCAGGGCTTGTGGAGTTTGGACTAACTGACCGCAGGAAATTGGATTGTGCAGAAATGACCTGTGACCTCAAACTTTGGGGTACAACTGAATGACCTGGAGGCCCAGGCTTGACACCTAAGCCTCTTTTTTTAACCAAGTCCCCTGGGTGAGTCTGACCCCCACAAAAATTTGAGAACCCCATCCCCACCAGACGCCTGGGGGACACAGGGGCTATTGTGGGTGCCGAGTGAAGGTACCAGCCCAGGGCGCCTCCACTAAGAAGCCTTCCCAACCCCCCAATTGGAGAGCACCCCCTCAATCACAGCGTGTCACCTCCCTGAGGGGCCCAGCCAGGGAGGCCAGATGGCGCTTGTGCCTGTCTGGTCCCTGCGGGCCCCAGCAGCGGCCTCCTCTCTGCCTCTTAGTCTCTTGAGCTCCCAGTCCAGGTCTTGCTTGGTCTTCTGTCAATATTTGTTGACAGTGACCTTGCAGGTGACAGGGGACAAGGTCCAGGGAGAAGCCGGCTGATGGAGGGTCAGTCTAGAAGTTGGTGAGCCCCCTCGTGGGAATGGGGGAAAGCTTGGCTCCCTCCTCCGTGCGTGCCACCCACAGGCTGGTGTGGGCAGGTCCCTGGCGGATTGTCCCTCAGGCCCCACGCAGGCACCTGTTTTCCCCCTCCCATAGGGCTCAACCCTGGACACCCTCTGTCCAGGTCCATTGTGGGGGAGGGGATGGCTCAGCACTCCCTGCCCGCTGGCACCGCAGGGCGAGTGGAGTGCTGGGTGTTGTCCACTGGGCAGGGGGCAGTGTCAGGGGCACAGCCTTGAACCCGCTGGCCTCCCGGGCCTGTGGCCGTCCCTTAAGTTGGCAACTAAGTGTCAGTTTCCTTGGATCATAAACAGGAATAACAACATTTCCTCCTTCAGGAGGCCAGTGTGCCATGAAATGGAACAGCTGGGATCTCCATTTAGGGCCTGGGCTAGACCCTGGGGCGCTCCCCGGGCTTCCGGAGGGAGCGTGTGGGAAGGGTTTAGTGGTATCCGCTGCCTGTGCTTTGTTCTGCCTTTGTGTCTCTTAGCTGAGGGGTGAATGTGGGGCTGAAAAACTCCGTGGAGCCTGAGTTTGCATGTGAGTGTGTGTGTTTGTGTGTGAGAGTATGTGTTTGTGTGTTGAGCTGGCTGTTTGGCGTGGCCCTGGCCGCCCCGTCCCCATGTTGCACCAGGGACAAGTCTGCCGCCCAGGACCTCGGGCGCCCTGGCCCCTGCCGAGTCCCCGCCTCTGCACTCGGCCTCCGGGCACTCAGTGCCGGTGCTTTTCCCCAACCTTGACCCTCAGGAGACACCATGACTTTGAATAGCCCAGCCCTCTAGTCCGTAGCCTCAGTGCCAGCTGAGTCATGGGCTGTCCTGGCCACCCAGCTTTGCCTGGGTTTGTCTTGGGGTTTGTGGGCTCCTGGCTGGGTGGAACAGGCCCCCGTCTGGCCCTGGGAGAGGCGCATCACACTGGGAATGCTGTCACCGCATCTGACCCCATATGGTGGAGCAAAGAGAGCTGAGAACCCCTGGCCGCATGGTTCTGGAACATTCTATCCCATGAGTCAGGCAAGGCCATTATCTTCTGGACCATCTCACTGACCTCTCTGCTTGTCCCCTCCTGAACCCCACGGGATGTTAACCTGAGGAGCCTCAGGGTCCATTTCAACTATGATTTTAAAAAATTTTTTAATTAAGGGCCTCCCCGCTGGCGCAGCGGTTGAGCACTGGGTTGCGAAGCTGTCCGCAGCCTCTGCAGCGCCTGTTCGATCCCCGGCTGCTCCCCGCCACCAGAGGAGGGTCCCACATGGCGCGCAGACCTCTCCTGCCGCCCGCTGCTCCCTCAGCAGTGTACTTTGGTCCTTCTGCCTGCTCTGCTCCCCGCTCTGGCTCTGGTGAATTCTCTCACCCTCCCGCGCTTCTGACTGTACCCAGTGCTTGTATAAATAAATAATTTTTTTAAAAAATTTTTTAATTAAAAGTTTTAGATCAAGGCACACCCAGACCTGCAGTACAAAATATACGTTTGTGAAGATGGCTTGATTTTAAGTGAGTGTAGATTCACAGGACATCTTGGAAACAGGACAGGAGCCCCGCTCCTCGAGTCAGTGGGTGACATCTCTGAGTCCCAGGCTGGGGCAGGGGTGAGGGGAGAGCTAGGAGAGAGAAGGGCAGGTCTGGGGCAGTGGCCAGGAGAGGAGACTTAGAGGGAGGCCGGGAGGCTGGCTTGATGGGGAGCTCTGGGGGCTGAGCTGGTGGATGGAGGTGCCGGCTGAGACAGACTCTCTCTGGCACTGAGCTGCTGCTCCTGCCAGGCCTCCTGCTGGGTACTGGGTGCTGGGGACCAGGGGTGCACAAGACCCACTTCCAGTTCCCCCAGGCTCAGAGTCAAGTGAGGAGTGACGTCACAGGCCTCCGTCCTGATGGAACCGGTCGCACGTGCTGGTGCCTGCTCTTGCTGCGCATGAACTGCTAGGCTGCGCCCCCATGAGGTCCAAGCTGTTGTTAGCCCCGCTTTTGCAGATGAGGAGACACTGGTCCGGGAGGGTCAGCCACTTGCCCACGGCTGCTCAGCTGGTGCCCGGTACAGCCCAGGCCAGGGCAGGTGGGCGCTACGGAGGCATGGAGCAGGTGGGGCAAAGCTCTGTGGGCAGGGAAGGGGCGTGGCAGGGGCTCTGGGCAAAGTACAGGCTTGACTGGATGTCAAACTGGTGACACGTGGTAATGAAGGCCAGGGGTGCCGATAAACAATACCCTGCAGGGCACAAGACAGCCCCTTGCCCCAACATAGACGAACCCAGCCCCAAATGTCATCAGTGCTGAGACCCAGAAGCGTGGCCAGAGGGGCGGGGTCTGGAGGGGCGGTGCGCGGCACGGAAGCAGGAAGGCAGTTGAATGGAGCAGGGGGACAAAGGTCTGGATATGGGAAGGGCACAGGGCATGAGGGACACACAGAAATCTGGAGTCACTAGGGGGCGTCTAAGCGGGATTCTGGAGAGAGAGGCGTAAGGAGATCCTTGTGCCCAGCCTGGGAGCCGGAGGGCCCCAGGGAGCGTGCCCAGAGGCGCGCTGGACTGGGTGTTGACCACAGCCAGCGCTCGGTCAGGATGCGGCCCTCAGGCCCCTCTTGCTCTGTCCCTCTCTTCTCCAGAGTGCGGAGACACCCCTGTATTGACAGAGAGCTGAGGGCACACTGGAGGGCTGCCCGATGTTGCAAATAAAAATCCAGGATGTGCACTTGCACTTGAACTTCAGATAAACAAGAATGCAAGTCATCTTTAGGGTGTCCCTCCACAGAAATGGTTGGCTTATCTGAAGCTTCTGTTTAACTGGGTGACCCATATTTCGTCGGACAAACCTATCACCGAGCCCGCGGAACCCCAGGAGTCCCCACCACTGTAAAGCCAGCCGTGAAGGGGGCAGCTTGGCCCCTGGAAATGAGCGAGAGGAGGTCTGGGAGGAGGGAGGGGAGCTGGGCACACGCCAGGCTGGGCCCCTCCCGCCTGAGGGACACTGGCCCTGGAAGGCCCACACCCCTTCCCGCCCCTCTGCGTGTGCTGTCCCGTCTCTGCGTGTTCCCACTGTGCCCGGTCCCCAAGCTGCACCCCTGACCTTGGCCTTTGATGCCTCCTCCTCCCACTGCTCACTTGTCCCAGGTCTGCCCCCCACCCGCCCGGGGGGGGCCTCGTCCCGCCCCACCCCTCCCGTCGGGTACAGCGACCTACATAAAACCCAACTTGGCGTTGTAATTTTGTCATGATGGTTTTTAATCTCGCAATATAGGGTTCATTTAAAAAAAATAAGAGAGGCAAATGGTAGAGAAGAGTAGCTGAGAGATGGGGGGCCGCCCTGGCCCCTCGGGAGGGAGACGGGCAGCAGGGCGGGGTGGGAGGGCCTATGATCTGCGAATTCCATAAACAGGTTACCTTGTCAAAAAATAAGTGATTTTAAAAACTACCTAACTTAGGTGATTACTTTGGTCACCGGCAGAGGTCTGGGGTGCTTCAGTGAACAGAAACTGAGTGAGGGGATAAATGAATGGAAGAGATTTGGGGGGTCCCGTGTTTTAGCTGAGAGAAGATGTCGAGAGGAATCCCACAGTCTACCCTCTTGCAGAGCCTGAGTGCTGAGAGATCGGGGCTCTTCTGTCTTCCTGAAACTTGAGGCTTCTGGAACTTTCTCTAGGTCTCAATGTGGAATCCTTGGGGGATTTAAGCGGCCCCTTGCAGCAGCACTGTCCATTTCTCAACCACCTCTGAGGAAGTGGCTTCCGGGCATTGGGCCCCTGGGCCCGGTTCTCTGTCTTCCAGCCCAAACCCGCCCTTGCTCCCCTTCGTCAGAAAGACTATCTAGATGGGAGTGAGAATTCCAGTGTTACAGAAATCGCCTCAGATCTGTTATTTGTATAAAAAGGCTCAGTGTGGCTCGGGCTCCTGGCATGCGGCTCGGGCCGGGCCGGGCAAGAGATGCAGAGCCGTGCCAGAAGGAAAACCAGCTTTGTTCCCGGGCAGACTGCTGTGCTCAGCGAATGCTTCTTGATGAAGAAAGCAGTGCGGATAGGTCAGCCCTGGGAGCAGGCGTGCAGGGGCGGGGCCGTTCCAGACCACTGCTTTTCCAGCGGCGGGGGCAGAGTGGAGCCTTTGGGCCTTGGCGGGGGCCAGCTGGCCACCGAGGCCCCTGCCGACTCCACCGTGCCCCCTGTGCCTGCTGCCAGAGGCGCCTGCCACCACTTGAACCAACCTTGAGCCCCTGGCGGGTGCAAACTCTCAAGCAGGCAGACCCTCCAGAGACCCGCAGGCCTGGACGAGACCGGCACTTTAATTGACAGGTGATCTGCCCACCCTGGCGGTCTCTCCCCGAGCTAGCTGGAAATAAAGTCTCCATGATAGTTCGAGAGTTTACTAGATCAAAGTGAGGGTGTGAATCCGGGAGATTTTACCCTGTAGGTTTTACCCGGGTAGTTTTTACCCTGTGAGAGCCCTTCCGGCAGACACCGGTGTGTGCTAGTGTATGTGGGCAGCAACGGTGGGTCACCGACATCAACATGTATTCTCCACGGGGGCTCCTGCTCCTGTAAGTTATTTTGACCTCTGCTCTCTGGGCAGAGGAAGGCAAGGCCGAGGTTTCTCTCTCCTGCCTAAAGAGCACAGGGGCAGCCCAGTACCCGTGGTTAAACCTCCTTTATCCTGTTCCCTGGTCTCCAGCCAGGGTGGAGAGACCAGCTTAGCCCATGGGCAGCAGATGTTGCATGGATGGCAAGACTTTTCAGATGTTAAGTCTTTGCAGATGGCTGTGCTTGCTTGTTTACTGGAACAGGTTCTGTCCCGTTGTGAGCTTACAAAACCAGAGTAAAACCTGCCCCTTGGGGTTCCATCGCCCACCCCAGGGCAGTCAGGGGCCTCACAGCAGTGCTGAATTAGCATTTCTCCTTGTCCTCTGTCCTCAGAGGGGGAGGGGCAGGGGAGCCTACAGCTTCGACACCTCTGCCCACATCTGCCCACATCTGTTATGCAACCTAAGTGCCCTTTAGACGCAGTGCCAAGCTCCCTGTTGCCAGGGAGCGCCTCTGTGGCCTGCGCAGAGCCAGTGTCCTTTTCTGTCTTCTTCTGGGCTCTGCCGCCCCGACTGGAGGCTTCTGCTCTGCTGCAGTTAATGGCTTATCTCAGGAGTCTGTGCTTATCTCCGATCCAGCCCTGGGGTGCCCTGGGGTGGTCACATGGCCTCCTTCGAGCTGTTTCTGCTTCTGTCTACCCCACGTAACACCACTGATGCCCAAGGCCCTAGGTGAACAGACCATGCAGTGAAGGGCACCGCATGCTCCACACGGGGCTCCTGCCTGCCTCTTGGTGACGCCCTGGGGATGTTTCGCCTGACACAGACATACAGCATCTCCAGATTAGCCAGATCTGGCCTAGAGGAAACAGGAGGCTGCCCTCTGCATGCTCCTTTGCCTAGATCTGCTAAGAAACCCCTCAGTGTCTCTTTTGCATGCAAATGCCTGCTCCTCTTGGGGTCTCGAGCTGCTTTTGCAGCTCAGGAAACCCCCATGAGGGTGAAAAAGCCAGATAACTCTAGGGAGTTCTCTGGGAACTCTAGGGAGACAGTCACACTGGACCCCCAAGGGGCCCCCTCACTAGGGACAGTTCGGGAGACGGCTCCCTAGCCGTCCAGCTGCTTGGAACGCAAAGTTGCATCATGAGGTAGGGGCTGCTCGAGCCAAATGCGCAAAGCAACTGCAGTGGGACGCCAGGAGCTCCCCTGCGCCTCTGGTCGCTTTCTCAGCTTTGCAGCTCCTCAGGTCCGTGGCTGAGTGGCAATCTGGGGAGCTGGCGCACCTCCACAAGGGCCATGTGGATACAATGTTTCAACTGGCTGCCACCTGTGGTCACAGAGAGTTGATGGTCAGGCCTATGAGCTGGGGGTCCTGAGAATGCAGTGTGGGGGCGACCGGGTGCTCTCAAGGCTCCCAGATGTCCCGCTTTGCTCGACCGCTCCTGACGGGGCCGGTGCCCACTCCGCTCCCCTAGGTCTGCACCGCCTTCACGGCAGAGTATGCCAAGTATGGGCACGTGAAGATGCACCACGGCTACACCAACGTGCTGGGCCTGGGGGACTCGAGCACGTGGCGGCTGCCCTGCCTCAACCGCTACGTCTACATGTTCCTGGCGCCGCTCCTGATCCCGGTCATCACCCCACTGGTGGCTGTGGGTGAGTCTGCCAGCGCCCTGCCCTCAAGGCCCGGGCCCTCCTCTCCTTCCTTCCATTCCCGGCATGGTGGGGGAAGTGAGGAGTCCTGAATGAGGGCCTGGCAGGGACTTTGAGATGGCCGGGCAGGGTGGGTGGCGCCTGGGCCCCGGGGCCAAGTCTGATCCTGCCGATTCCGGCTGGGGGCCATGGACAGGTTGCTTAACCTCTCTGAGCCTTAGTTCTGACCTGCTCCTCAAGGGTGATGTGAAAGCCTGGTGAGGCCACAGGTGGAGAAAGGTCCTGCAGGCCTTGCACTTACTGCTCGTTGTGGCAGTTTATAGCGAGGGGGTGAAGTCCTGGGGGGAGGAGCGGGCTCTGGGCTGCAGCCCCAGGCCATCCTGTGCTACCATATGGGCCTATGGGCCTGGGGCAAGTTGCTTCCAGCTCCCTCTCCTTATCCATAAAGTGGGTGCATCATTCTCTGGCCGGTATGTGGCTGAACTGAACCTCCAGAGCCCCAGGGGCCAGCTCAGGTGGGGCTTGGGCCTCGCCCACGCCCTCACTCCCCTCCTGGCTCTCTGGCAGAGCGGCTGTGCAAGCTGGAGCCCAGGCTGGCTCTGCGCTCCCTGGGGCTCATCTCCCTGGGCCTCTACTCACACTACTGGCTGCTCCTGAACGTGTCTGGCTTCAAGAGCCCCGGCTCGGCCCTGAGCTGCATGCTCGTCACCAGGTCCCTGCTGGCCCACCCCTACCTCCACGTCAACATCTTCCAGGTGAGGCCTCCCCTGCCCTGGGAACTGGGGGGCTCTGGGGAGCACTCCCCAGGGGCCTGACTGTGGGCTGGACTCTGGGTTCTAAGGCGAGGCCACCAGAGGAAGCACCCCTTTTCCCTCCCAGATCCCCTGCTGTCCACTCGTCACTCAGAGTCCCAGGGGAGGCTTCTGCTTCTCCCCAACCCTGGCTGCATTCGTATGTGGATGGGAGGTTTCCTAGGAGCATCTTCTACACAGGGCACTGGGTTAAGCCGTGGGGACACGAGGGATCAGGACCCCAGCTTCTGCCATCAGGGTGCACATCATGATAAGCCCAAAGCCAGCGGAAGGGGGGCCGCTGGGCAGGTGGCTGGAGGAGCTGGAGGTGGAGGCGTTCACGGAGGCCAGGGCGCAGCACTTAGCGCCCAGCCATTTCTGCAGGGAGGCTGCCAGCTCACTCCATGTCCGAGCCAGGAGGGCGCTGGCCAAGCAGCATCTGTGCATTCCTCCTGTTAAGTGAAAGAAATGCACCAGGGCCTGGAAACGTGAACTTTCGGCAGGACGTTGGGGAAGAGAGCAAGGGGGGACCGCCCGGGGAGAGGCAAAGGCACAGCCACAGGAGAGCGAGCGGTGGGCAGTCTCAGGCATCAGGGGACCTGAGGGGTGCCCGGGCCAAGCCCCTCATCGCACTGATGTGGAGAGAAGCCCAGAAATGGGCCGGATGGCGAAGACCCAGACAAGGGAACGCCAGCTCCTCAAGCTCTGCCGGCGTCAGTGGGGAGGGAGGCAGGAGAATGTTCTCCCACATTCCATGTGCTGGGGAGGGGCAGGCATGGGCGGAGGGGGCGGCACGGGCGGTGGCCCAGTCCTGGACGTCCCCCGCGTGTCTGCCACAGCACATCGGGCTGCCCATGTTCTCGCTGGACACGAAGCCCCGGCGGATTCACATGATGAGCCTGGGCGTGCTCAACCTGCCCCGGCTGCCGGTGCTGGACTGGGCGTTCGGCCACTCCATCGTCAGCTGCCACGTGGAGCACCACCTGTTCCCCGGGCTCTCGGACAACATGTGCCTGAAGGTGGGTGGGGCTGGGGCGAAGAAACTGAGAGCAGAGGGTGAGCAACCTGACCCCCGACCCCCCCGCTGGGGGGGACAGCGGCCAGAGCACCAGCAGCAGCGTGGATTTCTGGGTTTCTGATCCAGGCTCTGGACAAATTAACGGACGTCTCTGGAGCCGCAGCTTCGGCGTGTGTAGCTGGGAGGCGCGGTGCTTCCGCCGACGGCCTCTGCTGGGCACACGGGGCTTGGTGAAAGGGAGCTGAGCCGATCCCTGATGCCAAGGCCTGTCCTGCTGTTGGCGCCCCAGGGAGGCTGCTGGGGAGAAGCCTCTTTGCCGCGCCTGCTGGGAGGGAGGAAGCAGGAATTCTCCCAGCGCCTAGAGAGCCTCGTGGGACGCGCAGATAGGGGCTGGGGCCGGGAGAGGAAGGGCCTGGTAGGGGCTGGCGGGAGAGGCAGAAGGGCCACATGGCGCCATGGCCTGCCCTCAGCCCCGGCTCAGCGGCCTCCCCCATCTTCTGGCAGGTGAAGCCCGTGGTGTCCCAGTTCCTCCGGGAGAAGCAGCTGCCCTACAACGAGGACTCCTACCTGGCCCGCTTCCGGCTGTTTCTCAGCCGCTATGAGGAGTTCATGGTGCAGACGCCCCCCATCACCGAGCTGGTGGGGCTGCAGTGAGGGTGGGCGACCCTCCCTGCCCCCACCCGGCTCTGCTGCTTCTGCTGCCATCCCCGGAGCTGGGGCGCGGCCCTTCCCCAGAGGGTGCTGGCAGTGGGTAGAGGCAGGAGTCGGGGGTATGAGGCAGGGTGCTCCTGTGGGGGCCTGGGGTCACCCGCCTTGCTCACTTCACTGGGCTTTGAGGCGATCTGGAGGAAAGCCCGGCCCTTGGTTGACTTCCCCTCAGGACTCAACAGCTGGGCCCCTCCCTCCCCAGCTGCCCCTGCTCTGTCTGAGCCTTGGTGGGGCCAAGGAGGAGGGCTGGGGGGCGAGAGGGGCTCTGTGCAGGGACAGGCTGGAAGGGGGCACTGAGAGAGCAGGGTTGTTCCTCAGCTGGGGCCTCCATGTCTTCCTGTGCCCCTGAGGCTCTGGCTCCTAAGGCGCCCTCCCCCCGGGGCCACAGAGAGCAGGTTCTTTTGGCCAACCTTCCTGGCGTCCCGGCCAGAGAAACCCGCACGATACTCGCTCAGCACTCCCAGACCACCACAGCCTCTGCGAGACGACAGTGAGCGTGTGTGTTGTGCGGGGAGAGCACACCAGGGGACACAGGGGGGAGTGTCAGGCTCTGAGTGTGACCTTGCTGGCTCGAGGGAACGTCTGCTGTGCTCTCTGAGGTGGAGGAGGGGACCTGCAAGAATGATCAATTCCAAGAGAAGAATTGTGGGGAGGGTGGCTGAGGCTGGAGGGGTGCCGGGGACAGGGTCTGGGGCGCTGTGGGCCTGCCCACCCCAAGCAGCCATTTTCGTTACCTGCAGTTCTGCATTCCTGTACGAGGCCAGAACTGCCTGGTCCGTCAGTTAGGGGAGCCCCACCTTTCACGGTGCCTTTCAAATCAAGTAAGAGCAGAAAGCCCGAAGGGTGTGCATCCTGGAATGCTGGCGGGGGGAAGCTGACCGGCGGGATGCCTTGTTGATAAGATTGGAACCATGGCAGGGACCTGGGTTATGGTTTCGATGACAACCCTTGGTCATCACGCAGATAAGAATTATCTGGCCAGCAGACTCCTGTCTCCCCAAAGCCCTAGAGGACATAAGCACATTTTCCGTTTCACCCGCCTTTTTCTCCTTCCCCACGTAGCCGGTGCTGTATGATTACTCTGTCAATAACAACGCCGGGAGCTGGCTCGCTGAGCAGCGTCCTGCACCGTGCAGCCTGCTCCACGCCTCCTGTTGCTCAGTGTGGTGTTGCCGACCAACAGGGGACAGATGGCCTTAGAGAGGAGAGAAAGGAGGGAGGAGGGGGATGGGGCGCAGACGCAGGCCTGGGTTGGCTGTTGCATCTGGGGGCTTTAGGGAACCGATGCCAGCCAGAGGGAGGGGACCTCACTGGCCTCAGACTAGTGAGCAGACTTGAGAGGAGGCTGGGAGCTGCCGTGCCTGGGGGCTGAACAGGAGAGTGCAAGGAAGGGCCGGGCTGGAGGCTGAGGAAGAGACAGAGGAGGCCGGAGCTCCTAGTTCAAAACAGGATTTCTCACCTCCGGCCCGTGGCCGGATCATCCTTGGTCATCGGGGCTGGAGGTGGGATGTTCAGCAGCGTCCCTGGCTTCTACCCACTAGACACTAGCGGCCCAAGCTGGGACAATAAAGTGTCTCCAGATGTCACCAGACGCCATCCGGGGGCCAACTCATTGCTGCTGTAGAACAGGCAGGTCATGTTTGAGCGCGTAATTGCCTTCTTCAGGGAAGGCCTTAGAACCGGTGAAGGGCATGTGACCCTGAGGCTGGGAGGCCAAATACCAGCAAATGGGGTGGCTGGAGGAGTCAAGTGGCAGGGATGGCATTCTCCATCTACTGGAGAAGCATCTCTGGAGCGGCCTTAGGTGGCGCTGCAGGGGAGCTGCCACTTACCCTCGTTTGTTCCCCATTTGTCTCCATCCTGCTTTCCTCTACCAAAGACCACAGCTCCCGGGGCACCCTCCCTGCCCGTAACTACAGCTCCCACTGGTCTCAACACAGCTCCCTTCTTTTGCTCCTGCAGAGCCTGGTGGGGGGTGGGTTTGAATTAGTGGCTTCCAGCTGTTGCTGGCTGAGGGGTGCTTCACCATTTCCTTAATCCTCCTCACATGTCTATACAAAGTTCCTTCATTCAACTCTCTTCAATCACCCCTTCTGAGTATGCCATCTGTTCCCTGCTGGGAGGCTGACTGATAGGGCAGAGTTTTGCATCCAGCAGTCCTCTTGGAAGGAGGCAGCTTGGCAGCCTCCCTGGCCTACTGCCTGGCTGTTACTGCTGCTCTTTTGAAATGCATTAGCCTCAGAAATGGCCTAAGGTCAGGAGTGCGATTAATCAAACTGCTAATTCTCCACATGGAAAATGCAATGTCAGAAAAGGCCCCATTGCTTAGTCCTGGCTAATGATTAAAATCATCAGCAATACAGAACCAATGAGTCGTTGTTATTGATCTGGTCCTGGGTGGGGAGGGGCAGCAGCAGAAGGCCCTGGAACCAGACCTGGCTGTACCGTTGGCACCTGGGAACAATCACTTGATTGTTTTGAGGCTCAGTGTTCTGTTACTTTGAGGGTATTGGCTGAGACTGCTCCGGGCTTGAGAGGGGAAGGGACAGAGACCTTCCAGGGCTCTGCAGAGACCAAAGGTCTAATTTACAGTATATGAGAGGTGATAATATGGCTGACGATAGCCAATGTTTCCTCACAGTTTTTTTTTAAAGATTTATTTATGCATACAAGGGCTGGGGTACAGGCCAGAGATGTGGGGGGTGTGAGGATTCACCAGAGACAGAGCACGAAACAGAACAGGCAGACTGACTGAAATCCACTGCTGAGGGGAGCAGCGGGCGAGACAGGAGAGGTCTGCTGCGCCATGTGGGATGCTCCCTGGCCGGCTCCCAGTACAAGATCGAACTTGTACTGCAGAGGCTGTGGATTGCTTCACAGAGTGGTGCTTAACCCCTTGCGCCACTAGGGAGGCCCCTCCTCACAATTCTTATGGCAAATGTTTTTATCTGTGCCATCTGATTTTAACCTTTATGACAAATTTTTACATTTGTTCCCCCTCATACTGGTGTGAGACGAAATCAGACTTGGAGTCAACGTCATATGACTTGTAAATCACAGGATTCAAATCCGTGTCTGACTTGAGAATCCATGCTCTTAACCAATGGACATACCACTTCTGGGTAGGGAGCCCTTGGGCTTTCTGGGGTGTCTGATCCTCAGTCTCCACCTCTGCCTCCCACGTGCAAGAAGTAAATGATTTGATCATTAATTCTTTATGCACATAAAGAATTTCTTTGCCAGGTGTTAGGTGAGGCTCTGGGGATACAGGAATGATAGTGGGGCCCAACCTCATGGAGTGCCCTGACTGGGGCAGGAGTTGACAAACTTTCCATAAAGGGCTAGCTAGTAACTATTTTGGGCTTTGTGGAGGATATGGTATCTGTCACATCTATTCAAACGTGCCATTGAAGTGCGAAAATAGCCATAGATAAGACATACAGAAATGAATATGATTATGTTGCAATAAAACGTTTAAAAATTTATGTAATTCCTGCTGGTCACAAAATATTGTTCTTTACAATTTTTAAAGCTATTTGAGACTGTAAAAATGATTAGCTTGCAGGCTTGTGAGTAGAATTTGTTTTTTTTTTAAAGATTTATTTATTTATGCATATAAGGGTACAGGCCAGAGATGTGGGGTGTGGTGTGTGATTCACCAGAGACAAGTAGGGAGCAGAACAGGCAGATTGACTGGAATACACTGCTGAGGGGAGCAGTGGGAAAGACAGGAGAGGTCTGCTGTGCCATGTGGATTGAACTTGTGCTGCAGTGGCTGTGGGTAGCTTCATAGGTTGCGTCTTAAAATCCCTTGTGCCACCAGTGAGGCCCGCGAGTAGAATTTGACCTGCAAGCCATAGTTTACCTACTCTTGGACTAGTGGGGGCTGGCAAAAAACACAACCACTTATTACAACTCAAAATAGGAGGGAGAGGAAGTGACTAGGAGGGGCACAAGAGTCTTGGTCATGTTCCACTTCTTGATCTGGGAGGTGGTCACATGTGATTATTTATCAAACAGTACTCTTGTGATTTGTACACTATTCTGTTATACTTCAATAAAAGATTATTACAGATGGAATGATGTGTGCAGTGGGGCAACCTGGCACAGGCACAGGTCAGGTTCTCTTATCCATTTGGGCAGACAGAGAAAGGAACATCCTGGACTCTCAGGGCCTTTTTCAGGCTTTAATGCTCTTTCTATGCCAATTGTGGGCAAGCCCGCAGGCTGGTAGGCCTCCCAGCCCCTCGCCAATCTGTATGCTTTTCCTCTTCTTTCTGGGCTCTCATGGTCTCTTTCTCATAGCCATCGCTGGTCTTCTTGGGACCTTTCCGCAGTAGCCATTTTCCTGTCTCAGTGATGCTGCCCTTATAGCCTTGGCCTCTAGGCTCAGGTGTGCACACTCACACATGCCCACACCAAACTCCGGGGTGGCCACCATCAGACATGTATACCCTGAGCCCAAGCTCCCAAGTGCCTTCTGCATTCAAGGCCGCAGGTGATAGCCACAGAGGTCAATGGTGTAAAAGCCTGACCACTTCACTTACTCTACACGGGGGTGTTTACAGAATAATCATTTTAATAAGACATATAAGCCCCATCCTTCAAAAGATAATTACTCAGTGTTGCTGGGTCTCCCCCATATGCAGGAGGTATACATGTTATTACTAAATTTCTTTTGGGCTTTTCTCCCTTATCAAAAAAAATAATTTAAAACGACTCAGTAATGATGGAAGTGTTGGAGTGGGATGGAGGTACAAGACAGGGCGCTCGTGCAGCGTGGGAAAGCAAAGGCGTGTCCAGTGTTTGACAGGAAAGCCCGCGGAAGAAAAGGCTTAAATGACGGATCCTGTCACTTAAAAATACTTTTTGCTAATTAAAGATTCTTTACATCAATTTTGGTCTTTTAAAATGCTGCTTTAGGGCCTCCCTGGTGGCGCAAGGGATTAAGCACCGCACTATGAAGCAATCCGCAGCCTCTGCAGCACGAGTTCAATCCCCAGCCAGCCAGGGAGCAACCCACATGGCGCAGCAGACCTCTCCTGTCTCCCCGCTGCTCCCCTCAGCAGTGTGTTTCAGTCAGTCTGCCTGTTCTGCTCCCCACTCTGTCTCTGGTGAATCCTCTCACCCCCCCCCCACAACATCTCTGGCCTGTACCCCAGCTCTTGTATGCATAAATGAATCTTTAAAAAATAGAAAAAAATGAAATGCTGCTTTAAGAGCTTCTTTACCTTGATGGCTACGGCTTCTGGCCCCCCGTGAAGGCTGCACCGGAGGCCAGCGACTCGCTCGCCCCGTCCGACTCCAGCCCGGGGACAGGCCGAGGGCCTGGCTCTGCCCTGAGTACCTGGGGCACGCCGCCCCGCCCCTGTTCCCTCGCCCACGGACGGGAAGGCGGCCGGCGGAACAAACCCTCCAGGGCTCAAGATTCTCCCTGGCGCGACCCGAAGGGCACCCGCCGGAGTCGGGGATAAGGGCGGCTACTTCCCGGCGGGAGCCCCTTTTTTCCAGATTTCCGGGTTCCGTGATTGTTATCCAATGGGCGGGGAGTCGCTCTTCGAATCAGACTCGTGATTGGCTGAGCTCACCGCGCTGTCATCAGAGAGCGACGAGGACCGAGGGGCGGGGCTAAGCAAAATAAACTCCTTTCTAATTGGCTTCCCCTTTGAGGGATTGAAACAGCGATGAGGATTCGTCCTCCGGCAGCCGCGGGCTCCAGGTAATTGGAGGGAGGGAGGAGGAAGTTTGGGGAGAAATTTACTAAGTCACGAACGGCCCGGAAGTCCCGGAGGGCTGCTTGCCCGCGGTAGCGGGGGAATTGAGGGCGGTCTTCTTTTTTGGGGGGCGTGATCCTTGCGAGGAGGGGGGGGAGTCGCCAAACTGCTCCCCCCGAGCGTGGGAGGCGGGGTTAGGGGCGGGGTTCGGGGCGGGGTCTCGCCTGTGGTTGGGCTCCGCGGCGGGGCGGCGCGGCGCAGGGAGCGGAGCGCGGCAGCCCGGGTCTCAGAGCCGCTGGCTGCTCGCTCTCTCCAGCCATGGCTACGCGCTGCTGGCGCCGGTGGCACTGGTCAGCGTGGCCTCGGACGCGGCCCCCTCCCGCCGGGAGCACCCCGAGTAGGAGCAGGGCACCTCTGGGGCTGGGGAGGCCTGCGATCACCCAGTGTGGGCGTCGGAGCACGGCTGGGCAGGACTGGAGAGGGGCGATTATGGAGGGGTCCTTTCGTGAGGACGAGATGGGGCTGGTGTGCGGGAGCAGTTTGGGGCCTGTGTGGTGAGATCTGAAGCCCCTAAGATGAGTGAGACAGGGTCAACAAAGATGAGGGGAGACCATGATGTCCCCAGGTATGAGAAGGGGTGAATGGGGGTGATACGGAGGTCTGTGGGGCAATAGGGAATCCAGAGTTGAAACGGGTCTATGAGAATGAGCTGGGGGCCTGTACAGGCAATATAGAGTGCTGTGGAGAGTGGGGTTAGAAGACATAAAATGGGGGCATGTGGGGAGATGCATGGGGGCAAGATTGGGAAGATTCTTAGAAAAGTGAAGTACTGCACAGGCAGCTTCCGAGGTGACAGGTGGTTAAGAAGGCCCTACTCAGTCAGCGTGGTGAGTTCATGGGTGAGATGTAGGGTTCTGGAGGAAGACATAACTTTTGGGAATTCTGATGATTAGGGAGCCTGGAACCTCCAACACATTGAGGAAAGAGGAGGGTACAGATGTGAGGGCGTCCACACGGAAGTTGATTTGGGATTGGGGCGGGAGTGTTGATGACCTTCCTCTCCCTCCCCCTCTTGACCCCAGGCTTCCTCCGGCAGTTCTCCACACAGGAGCAGACCCCCCAGATCTGTGTGGTGGGCAGTGGCCCAGCTGGCTTCTACACAACCCAATACCTGCTAAAGGTAAGTCACCTCCTCCTGCTTCCCTCCCCCACAATTCACCTGCTGCGCCAGTCCTAGGGGCAAGTCCTGTCCCTTTGAATTTTAAGAGCACTGCTGGATCCCTGATGGGGAAGGGACGCCCAGCCCATCTGGACTGGACACTTCCTACGCTGTCACCTACATCTGTCCCCCATACTAGCCTAGGAGAGAAGTGGCTGGCCTCATGGGCATGGTCAGTGGTGAATGGCAGATGGTCAGCTAGGCCTCCAAGGAGCTCACGCAGACCTGCAGGAGGACTTTGTCCTGTTCTTCATGTCCTCATCTTTCTCCTCTGTCCCCCAACATCCTCTATCTCAAGACTTTCCCCTCTTCTCAGGGTTTTCTGTAACCTGAGGCACCTTGCAGTGCTTTCCTCACCAAAAGATCCAGCCTCTCCAGGCTACTCTATTCGCTCAGCCTGCTGTCCATCCTCCACATCGGCCTCCCAAGGCCAGAGTGCTAAGCTTGCAATATCGGCCTTGGTGGTCAGGGCCACTGGTTATCCTTGAGATTCCATGGGCCTGGGTGGGAGGGAAGGGGTAGAACTGAAGATCAAAGGGAGAAGGGAGACCTAGGCTGAGACGCGGGACAGGGACTCGGAGTGTCTGTGGAGAGACAGGAGAAAGGATGAATATATCAGTTATACACACACAGGCAGATCCTTAAAAGGCAAGGAGACCAGCCGTCCCACTTGCCTAGAGCCTTGGGGCTGTCTCTGCTCAGGGAGGGCTCAGGGAGACGGGGAGTTGGCCCCCTGCTGAGAAGTGACAGAGCTACATATTCCAAGCAACAGAGATGTCCCAGCTTAGTCTCCTAGGGTGGCCTGCACGAGCCCGGGTAGGTGGGGTCCATCCAAAGTGCTCCCCGAGAACGGTTCGTGTGAGCTGTAGTGAAGGAGCCGCCCATGAGGGGGGTTCACCCTGAAATGCAAGGCCGTGGGCAAACTGCCATGAGGGAGGACAGCCCTGGGCATGAATGGGAGCAGAGGGCGGTGGAGATGGAGGTCCCGAGTGATTTGTGTAAGGGGCTCGCTGTCAGCTGAGCCTGAAATTTGGGGAGGCAGAGAGGAGGGCTTCTGGGCAGGAGTCTCAGCGCCCCCAGCGTGAGCAGGCTCTGGCCCACTCAGTGGGAAACGCGTGCACATGCCTCCCCTGTGAGATGTGCTGACGCAGAGGGGTGGACGCTGAGGCCTGATCCGAGCTGGTCCTTGTCCTTGTCCACGGGGTGCTCCGGGCTACTGAGCGTGCCCACAGCAGGAACGAGTGGCACACCGGAGCAGTAGCACTTAGCTGAGCCGGGCATGGTTGGCCTGCGAAGTAGGGGTTGTGATTCACTTCACAGGTAGGGACTTCACAGGTGAGGCTCAGTGGGGTCATCCACTGTCTCCCTGCTGGGGCCGCGCACAGGCAGTCTGGTGGCAGAGGACGCTCTCGAGCACCACGCTGGGCCATCCATCCAGTAGTCACCAGACGCTGGAACGTGGGGTGAATAGGACAGATAGGGTCCCTATGCTCAGAGACCTGATGGTCTAGTGTGGGGTGTAGCGTGGAGGGGGAGAGGGTTGACACTGTATTCTAGGGCTCTCTGAGCAGGGATGAATCCCAAAGGTGGGGGGGTGTCTCAGGTCATCAAACTGGTTGGGCATTTCTAGAAATGTCAGAGGGCAGGGCCAGGTGTCCCGGCTGATCCAAGTCGACGAAGACATTCCCGATACACCCCAGGGGAAGGACAGCTGTCACCTTCTGTAGTGGCTGGAGGGCCCTCCCCGAGGACTGGTGCTCCTTGAGGTCTATCATGACGCCCCTTCCTCCGGCTGGGCTGCAGGTGGCTGCAGAGAGGGGGGCTCGCTTTCTTGCAGAGGGTTGAGGCGTCCTTCTGTCCTTCCTCCCCACCCAAGCTGACCTTTCTTGCTCTGTCTGGGGAAGTGGGGGACCTGGAGAAGCCCAGCCTTCCCCTCAGCCCCACAGCCGCTGCCCTCTCCCCAGCACCACCCCCAGGCCCACGTGGACCTCTATGAGAAGCAGCTTGTGCCCTTCGGCCTGGTGCGCTTTGGCGTGGCACCTGACCACCCCGAGGTGAAGGTGGGTGTCTCTGGGCATGGAGGGTGGGGTTTGGAGACTTGGGTCCAGATGAGGAGAAAAGGGAGGCTCCCTGGCCACATGGGACACTGGGTGTCACCCAGGTTCCATCCCAGCAACGTGGTGGGTGAGGGTA